AACCACCCAGACGACGCCTCAGAGACGCATCAAATCAGCCACCGAAATTTTCCAACGTGAATTGCGCCTCGGGTTGCCGCCCAAGAGCCTCCAATTCCGTCTTAACCCGTCCCTAGCGCACTGTCAGGTCGGGGCCGCGTCAAAAGTTCGCACTTGTTCCCGTCGAACCACCCCCAAAACGGGAACGGCCACAGGGAAATGAGGTCATCCCCCGTCCCTGACCCCGGCCGGTCCCTTGTCGTCCTCCTCCGCAATCCCGCATGAACGCCGCAACGCTGGGCTTCCGCCTGCCGTCAGTGTGAAAAATAAGCCGGTAGTACCTCACCTTATTCCGTACGACTCACGGGGTCACTCCCTGGCGGGGAGGGAGCAAAAAAAGAAGACACATGAAAAACACGGGGTGGGGATGTGTGCCTCGACCCACGTTCTCCACGCCCTTCCTTCCTTGGTCGCTCGCTCGTAGCCCGAGGCAGTCTGGGGCCGCCAATCTTGTTGCCCATGGGGCCGCTTCGTTCTTCCCAGATGGGGGGATCGCGACGTCAGATGTTGAAGCTTTTGGCGGGTACCACAGAAACCTTTTTGCGTGATGCTAATCTCGGAATCCAGTCTCTCGGAGACCGCGCGCTGGAAGCATTAGACCGGATCCTGTCCGCCTTGTGATGTACTGTACGTAGTATTGGAGCCATCTTGCGCGCGCATGTGTGGATGCGGCTTTTAGGCTTTGGTATCATAGACTTGCTGTTGTTTCGATACTAGAGGAGCCGATACTGAATATCGACGCGTGGCGCTGAGGTCGCGTTGCGCCAACTCTTTCCCGAGCGGCTGCAGCTACTCACACAGAATGTAGTGTCAGAGCAACTTCTTCAACCCATCTGACCAAAACGAAAAGAGAACAACATTGTAGATGCATCCCTTCCCCCAATTTATCATCCAATTCATGCTTTCGTGTTCACGCACATGATAAAATAGGAAAAAACAGCCGGAGGCATATACTAACCGTCTCCCAAGTCTCCCCAAAACTCCTTCAGGTCATCTGCCCTCCACTTGGTGCCCCATCCGCTCTCCTTTTCAATCTTTTCCAGGAGTTGTAGTATCGCACGATGCTCCGCGGGGTGGCTCATGCAACGTCCCGCAATCCAAAGGGGCTGGACGCTGTTTGTCCAGGCCCCGTGGTGGTGATTAGTCATTGATATTCCGCATATTTGTCTGGCATGCCAGAGCGCTGACCGAGGTCTCGGGGATAACCGGAGCGATGCTGGCCTGTTCTGTAACATGAGGAGTGACGCCGTGTGGTATAGTTGGTTGCCCGATATCGCGGCCGGGTTGCTGTACAGTATCTTGGGAAAGGGCTCTGTGTCGGACGAGGGGATCGACATGATGTGCTGCATCTCGGACGGCCGACGGCTGTGCCAGTCCTCGACGTATCTCCATAGCTTCATCCACCGCACTCGGTATCTCATGTCATTTCTAGGTCCGTCAAAGAATAGTCCACCCGGGTTCGCCTTAGCGAGTGGGGCCAAGAGGTCAAGGACCTGGGCGCAGATGTAGACTGCATAGTTCGCCCACATATCGTGGCCGGGGTGGGAGAGGAATAGCCCGACATCTGCCTCGAGGTCGATTTGTGATGCCCAGTGGTTGACCGGGATCAGAGTTTTCACCGACGAAATCAGACCGCCGCAGACATCCATTCTGGCAAAGCACCAGAAGAGAGCTTGCTCGACACCGCCTACGAAGCCGTTCATGCCGACGGCTTCCATCAGACTAGCGCAGCCGTCTAGATGTCTTCGCCAGGCTTTTGGCGAGCAGCTCGCCATCTCCAAAACGCAAAGCACCACACAGGATGCTATGACTGCTGTTGTTCGGGTTGAGAGCTGTGGTAGCAAAAGGTGTATCGCTTCTTGGTAGAGGGCCAGGCTCTGATCCGTTGGCCGGTCCCGGTTCTTCAGCTCCAATTGCCGGGCAGACAAGGCAAGCATTGAATAGCGCAGGTGGTCATGTGATCGAGCCATGGTCGGCAAGGAGTGTTGGAAGTGCCGCTGGTTGTCAAACTTGTCCAGCCAGGGTGAGATCTCATCCACCCAATTCTTCCATAGCGCACACTCCTCTTCCAGGGGTAGGAAAGGGGGCTCGTGATCCGAGGATATCTCCCCAGTCGCCTCTGGGGCTTCGGCAGACGAGTTCTCGCCGGAGCTGGCGTCGATGGATCTTCGTCTTGAGTTCTGACCTGAGGCTGGCGAACCTGGTCTTGTCGGCCCATTTGACCGTACCTCTTGGATGAGGTGGTTCCTTAGTGTTGAGTGTAGTTCGTGATAGGCGGATCCTGGCAAGAAGATTCCGTCTTCGTAGGAGCCCTCTGGCGTGAACATTTGGTCCATAAACTCGAAGGGCGCGTCTATCAGGGGGTCGAGAGCGAGGGTTGTGATGGGAATGCCGCTGACCGTGGTCGTCGAGTGATGGTCGTGTGGCCCCTGCCCAGCAGCACCACCGCCCTGGCTAAGGAATATCAGGTTTGCGACAGCATTGTCGGTTAGCAGTTGCTGCGACGCCGACGAAGGCGATGCCTGGAAATCCATGCGGTCGCCCGTCTGCGCGTGCCCCTTGTCGCTGGTTTCGTCATCTCGGCGTGTTGATGGGGTCAAGAGCGAACCAAAGCCCGACACAGCAACCGGATCTGTTGGTGCAGAACTAGGTCCTGAAGAAGACAAGGTTCGTTTTGCAGTATTCGAGCCCGCAATGGAAGCTGTATGGCCACCTGCCGTCGATGTCGTGTACGATACAGGGCTGTCAAAGGTCTTGGTCTCGTCATGCTCGAGGCTCTTGCGACGGTCTCCCTCACCATCGCCTCCTGGTGGTGACAATGGCGAGGGTTCTGGTTCCGGCTCGGAGTCGTAGTCGTGAAAGCCTGGTGGGAGGTGGTAGTCCCGAATAACCTCGCTCGTGACATCAAGGATCTCAAAATGCCGCCGCGGAGGTGGCCTCCTAGCCTTTCTCATTGACGGGTGATCTTGCAGGATCGTCTGGGCATTCTCAGCACGGAAGGTGACTTTGATGCCCCATTCGCACCTTTCCTTGCGGCGAGAGCAGCCTCCGCACGCAGGCCGCCCCTCGTCGCACTTGCGCTTCTTGCGGCGGCAATTGAGACATCCGGTTCGTGTCCGGGTCCTCTTCTTCTTTGCCGGAGGTTGGTCCGGGTCGGGGTCGGCAGGTGGTGGAGGAGAATGCGGATGTGGCCGGGTCGTCTGGCCCTCCTCGGCCGGCGACGGCGGCCTGTCGACCATGATGGCGGCAGGATGGGATTGAAGCTTCCCCGAGGCAGTGCGGTGCGGGCGTTGGTGAGGCGATGAGGGTCTAGACCTGGGTATCGCAATGCGCAAGCGCAATCCTGTTGCGGCAGGAGAGGCAACAGCAGCAGCAGGAGGCGGCTATTGCTGGGGTAGGTCGTCCAATTGGTGAAAGGTTGTGTGAGAAGTTCGTGGAGCAGTTGCGCTTCGACATGCGCTTCCGCGAAGACAGCCAGCCAGGCGGGCGGGCGGTGCGGGTAGAGATGGGATGTCGTGTGTGTATCAGGTAAGGTAAGATGTGCAAAATGGTTCGATAGATTGCCACGAATGGAGCTGTTCAGGATCCTGTGAAGAAGAGCAGAGAACAGCTGCAGCTTTGGTTAACTCCCCCCGAGGCCAAGGACGGGAGATGAAACAGAGTTCATTCTAGTACTGCATAGGAGGTGTTTGCCGATGGTTGAGAGGTGAAAGGACCCTGCAGTTGCAGTTCAGATTGAGGTTTGGTGCCCAATGACGGCGGCTTCGGAGCACATGATGGCGACTGACTTGTTGCTTCTTCTTCTTCGATTCCTCCTGTTGGCTGTGTGGTGTAGCGTCATGTATCGTGGCCGAGAGCTATCCCGAGCAGCGCTCTACTACTCCAATGTCAAAGAGGCAAAGGGACTGAGCTGTGATGGAGCTACCGTACCTCGCTCACCAACTCGAACAACAACAACACAGAGACAGACACACGGGGAGGAGAGTTTGCGGGGAGATTCTGGGGGCAGTTGTAAGCGGTGTCGGACGGCCTAGTGACAGCTCCATTGGCACTCGAACTGCCTGCCCGTCGCCCCCAGAATTGGCTGAAGAGATTGGCCCCCGGGGACAAACAGGGGTAGTCCCTGTCGTCGCAGCTCTTGGGACAAACTCTGAGCGTTGGGCTGCTGGCTGCGAATGCGATGCGCTGCTTTCAGTGGTCTGAACCGTTGAACCCCTCGTCTCGGGGGACGCTCCTGAGCAAAGTCCAGCAACAAAAGCCCTGGGATCCCCGGCTGGACCCCCGCCATTCTGCTGTCCGCAGACACTCCCCCACACCCGGAGAGGAGCAGCAGCCCAGCAGTCCCCCCTTCAAGCTTTTCCCACTGCCGTTCCGGATGGCATTGGGCGTCACGCTGTCGCTTTTTTAAGCATGATTGAGTGTGTGCGTGGCCCGCGGACTTTCGGTCCAAGACTGAGAACTGACATGCCCGCCCATTGATCTCTTTAGGGGACTTGTCGGAGCTTTCCCCGACCAATCGACATGGAAACACGATAGTGTCATCATCCGTGATCCCTTAAAAAGCAGAGCCCGAAATTCTGAACAACGACCACGAGGACAGACAGAACGCAGGCTGAGAATGCGATCTTCCCCCAGCTCGAAGCGAAGAAATGAAACCAATCAAAGACAGTCCACAACGAGGCCGCGCTGCTCTGCGACACCGGTTCGCTCATGACTCGGAACTCGGCCTGCTGATGCCGTGGCCAACGCTCGAAATTCCAAAATAAGGCATCGTGTAACTTTTTTCGGGCTCAATTACTATCCAGGGTTATCCGTGTCTATGCAATCCATGTGCCAAATATGCCCCCCTAAACGCCGCTCGCACCTTTGTCCCGAACCAGTCCTCCTCTTCTTTCTTCATTAGAGCTCGTTGGGTGTGATGTGCGAAAAAAATTCTTCAAGACAGCTTCATGAGTAAGTGCTTAGTGGTGGTGGACGGGGTTCAGGTCCCGGAACTCGCCCCGCAGGCTGTCCACGCCATTGGCTCTGACCTCCTCGACGAGCTTGGCGACCTCGGGGGCGATGACGTTCTCGTCGAAACCGAAGTACTTGTACGCGTCGGGGCCCGGGAGAGAGTGTCCGAAAGAGCTCATCGAGTAGCCGGCATCGGCGTAGCGCTCCCATCCGTTAACAGCGTACGCCTCGATAACCACACGCGGCGCCTTGGAGCGGTACTGGAGCACCTCGCGCTTGTACTCAATCGACTGCTTGTCGAAGATGCGCTGGCACGGGAAGCTGACGATGCGTGCCTTGATGTTGTGCTTCTCGGCGAGCAGCTTGGCCGTCTTGACGGCAAACACCATCTCAGCGCCGACACCGATGAGCGTGACGTCGGCGTCCTGCTCCTCCTTGAAGACGTAGGCACCCTTGAGCACCTTGTCGCGGGAAGTGAATTGGGGGTATTGCTCGAGGTTCTGGCGCGAGAGAGAGATGATCGTGGGTGACTCCTTGGCCTCCATCGCCGCGATGAAGGCGCCGGCCGTCTCCTCGCTGTCGCAGGGACGGATGTACAGAAGGTTCGGCATCGCACGGTAGAGAGCGGGCAGGGCAATAGGCTGGTGGGTGGGGCCGTCCTCACCGGTTCCGATCGAGTCGTGGGTCGCGATGTGAATCTGCTGGAGGCGCTGGAGAGCACCCATACGCACACCGGGGGCGGCGTACTGATTCGTCAGTATGGACATGTAGGTGGGTTAAGATCAAGGGTCACTCACGATGTAGAACATGAAGAAGCTTGAGGTGACGGGGAGGATGGCACCCTTGTTGAAAGCAGCCAAACCGTTGGCGATGGAAGCCATGGCATGCTCACGAATGCCATAGTGGATGTAGCGGCCGGTGTAGTCGCCGTTGATGCCGCAAGTCGTCTTCAGGTCCGGGTTCTGGAAGTCGACCTTGCCCTTCCAGATCATGTTGACAGAAGGAGACAGGTCAGCGGTACCGACCATCAGGTTGTTGACTCCAGCAGCAATGGGGTTGCAGACGAGACCAGCCGATTTTCTCGAGGGAGTGGGAGTCGTAGGGAAGTCCTCCTTGGCGGGGATAAACTTGCGCCAGTCCGCAGTCCACTCGCCAGCGACACGCTTCTTGAACTCGGCAGCGAGCTCAGGGTGCTCGCGGGTGTAAGCCTCAACCAGCTGGTTCCACTCGGCCTCGATCTGCTCACCGCGGGGGATAGCCTCGCGGAAGTAGTTGTAAACCTGGTCAGACACGACAAAGTGCTGCTCGGGGTCCATGCCGAAGTTCTTCTTGATGTTGGCAACGTCAGCAGGGCCGTAGGCGGCACCGTGGGCCTTGGCGTTGCCGGCGACAGCACTGCCAATACCGATGACGGTGTGGATGTTAATGAAAGTAGGCTTGTCACTGCTGTTGCGAGCAGAATCCATGGCACGAACGATGGCCTCGACGTCCCAGTTGCCGTCTTCTATCTCAATGACGTTCCAGCCACAGGCACGCATCTTCGTGTTCACGTCCTCGGTGTTGCAGAGGTCAACGCTGCCATCGCAAGTAATCTGATTGTTGTCGTACATGACGACCAGGTTGTTAAGCTTCCAGTGGCCGGCAAGCTGAATTGCCTCCATAGCTACGCCCTCCTGCAAGCAGGCATCTCCAATCATACACCAGGTCATGTTGTTGACGACGGGGAAGTTGGGACGGTTGTAAGTGGCGGCCAGGTGCTTGCTAGCAGCGGCCAGACCAACGGCGTTGGCGATACCCTGGCCCAGCGGGCCGGTCGTCACCTCAATACCCTCGTGCTCGATCTCAGGGTGGCCGGGGCAGAAAGAGTCGGTGCGGCTGGAGTGATAGGACTTGAGCTGGTCCATGGTCATGTGCTTGTAGCCGGTCAAGTGCAGGAAGCTGTACTGGAACAGACATGTGTGGCCGTTGGACAGAACGAAACGGTCTCTGTTGAAATAGTTGGGGTTCTTGGGAGAGTACTTCATGATGTACTTCCAAAGAGAGGTTCCGATGGCAGCCATGCCCATGGCACCACCGGGATGGCCGCCCTTGAACTGCTCACACAAGTCGGCGATGAGACAGCGGAATGTGCGGAGAACGAAGTCGACCTCCTTCTTGTCGGCGTCGGTGAGCTGGAACTGGCTGTTTGAGCCGTTGAGTGACTTTGTAGCCACAACGCCCTGAGGGACGGGCTCGGCGGGGACTGCACTGGGCGCCATTGTGATGTGCGTATGAGAGGCGTCGGGGGTATCACGAGGTGAGGGTATCTCGGTCTCGGTGTGAGAGTGTGGGGTAGCGTCAGGAGTCGCAGTCGTTTGCTTGGTTGACGTTGACCTCGTTCGCAGTATCCAACGAAGAGAAAGAGAGGCAGCCGTCAAAAGCAAATGGTATCAAGCAAGTCGTGTCTCTTTCGAGAGGTAAGTGAGGAGAAACAGAAGGGCCAGCGAGCAGACGGTAGAGGCGGGCATCCGGGGCCATTTTGTTAGATATATTCGTGGCCATGCTGGTCTGGTCTTGTCCGGCTTGGGTTGGTTGTGCCCCCTCTGTGTGCTTGAGATGACCATTTTGGGATGGAAGTGGGATGTGAAGCCAATGCGAAGCAGTACGGCATTCGGAAGGAGCGCTTAACGTTTCCCAAAACAGGCAAGGGAAGGGAGCAACCGGCGACTGTCACTTGACTGCCGGGAGATTTGGTCGGGAAAAGTACGGCAGATTTCATTCATGATGCTCATTGGTCAGAAAGTTCGCAGCATTGGCACCGAGTGATGCGTCGGGCGATGCATTGTTGTACATAATTCAGGACGGAGTAAAGACAAGCGCTGGTGCATGTACAAGAACTTTTCAAAAATGAGAACAGAGAAGGTTCAGATCATAAGCGCCTTATTTTTTTCTTATCGATGATACAAAACAGCGGACCAGAAGCGCAGAAGCGCAGAGCGATGACTCGGAAAAGTCCCGAGGAGCAGCGGGCGTATCAGTGTCTATCAGTGTCTTTGATGGATGAGCCTTAGGCAGAAAGATGCGGGTGACTAAGCGAGAAAAGCTGGCCATGGTCCGTGCTCCACCGCGGGGGAGATTGTAAGCGCTTCGTTTTGCCGTCTTGTCGCTGGCGCCGGGCACGAGCCACCTTCTTGTCTCCTTACGTAAGACTTTTCTGGCCACTCACCGTCTCAACGTTCTTCCCCGCCAAACCACCCGCGTGAACGCGCAGTTTTTGAAGCTGTTAGTTGCGGAGTCTCCACACCCATCAGACACTAACAATTCTCATCGCAGGTAGCTTTCCATTTGATCCATCGCTTTCTTTGTCTGCTTCTTGTGTCGTCGATGGATGGTTGGATGCCACGCTGGCGCATTATCGACTCCAGCTGTCCTCTAATAGGATCTCTTCCGTCCAGTATCAGACAGACCCTCTTCGCTTCCGCCTGCTTTTTTTCCCAACTCCAGTCTCCAGCATCTCTCCCATGGGAAACAACCGGGTCCTTGACCCAATAAACGTTGCAAATCTCGTCGAAACTATTTTTGCTGCCGTCCCCTTGCCCCGTCATCGCCGAAAGTCTATTCCTGATTCCATCGTGACCTGAACCCAACCCACAGACAAGAGTCCAGACTTACACTTTTCTGCTCTTTGTGTCTCTCAAGTGGCCCTCAGTTCCCCTCACCCGACCGGCTGCCGTCTCCCGTCCCCCCGCCTTCACACCGGAGGCGTCCCGCCAAGAGCGCTTGCACCTGCCCCCCTCCTCCACGTCCCCGTTCATCTCCAGCGGTGCCGCGGAGTCAATGCCGCGCAAACATCGAAGTTGCAGCACCACGTTGGCCCCGGCGCGTCGGGATGCTTCACCGTCGCCACGATGAACGCCCGGCAATCTATCCTCCAAGATGTCTTCACACAACTCCAAGCGACACTCGTCGTCGTCTTCCCGTCCTCCCCGGCCGCTCGTGTGTCACTCATATAGCCAACCCGTGACCGCAATGTTTCTGTTTCGACCTCGTCCACCTAGCTCACTCCCACTCTCACTGCCTGTGCCTTGCTCATCTTCATTCATACCTTGACCAACTGCGACCCTTTAGACAGTCGACAGCCTTGTTGTAATATCATCCTTTCTATACACATTGTTTACTAAGATACCCAACCTTCAACCTTCACAATGCCTCCCGTAGCTGTCAGCGATATGGATCTTCCCGCGGAGCCCGTCCACCCCAAGCCCGAGGCCAAGGACCCTCTCGCTTCCTCCGTCGCTACTCCTCAACTCTTCTCCCTCGCCAACAAGACCATTGTCATCACCGGAGGCGGCCGTGGCCTCGGAATCACCTTCGCCCTCGCCGTCCTCGAAGCCGGAGGTCACGCCGCCTGCCTTGACATCCTCCCCGAGCCCGCCGCCGTTGAGTGGGCTCACCTTGCCAAGCTGGCCAAGGCCAACAACCTCTCCGTCACATACCACAAGTGCGACATCACCGACGAGCCCGCCACCGAGAAGATCTTCAACCAGATCGCCGACGAGGCCGACCAGCGCGGCGCTCCCTTCTGGGGCGCCATCGCTTGCGCCGGCATCCAGCAGAAGATCCCTGCCCTCGAGTACCCCGTCGCCGACTTTGAGCGCATACAAAAAGTCAACGTCGTCGGTGTCTTTGTGACTGCTAAGCAGGCCGCCCGCGTGCTCGTCGGTCGCAAGAGCAAGGGCAGCATTCTGCTCATCTCTAGCATGTCTGGAGAGATCGCCAACCGCGTACGTTTGGCAGTCTGTATGGAAAGTGTGGACCCTGGCTGACATTCTCTGAAGGGATTGACTTGCAGCGCATACAACACCAGCAAGGCCGCTGTCCAGCAAATGTGCAGATCCGTCGCCCAGGAATGGGGCCAGTACGGCATCCGCGTGAACACACTCTCTCCCGGTGTAAGTTGGCCTTTATTTCATGCCACTCTCACTCGTCCACGTCTAACTCATGCGTCAACAGTACATCCGCACCGCCATGACCGATCAGCTCCTGCAGGCCGAGCCCGACGTCGAGACGACCTGGATGCGCGGTGCTCTGCTCCAGCGCCTCGGCACTCCCGAGGACTTCAAGGCTCCGGCCGTCTTCCTCCTATCCGAGGGCAGCTCCTTCATGACCGGAGCCGACCTTCGCGTCGACGGCGGCCACTGCGCCTCAGCATAAACGACGTGTTCTCATATGAATGCGACGAAGAACAAAACCCCATGCATGATCGATGAGATCTTCGATGAGATTGGCTCCGTAATATGGCACAAAGCCCCCCTCGGGAGCAACAACTCACTCGATGCCACCCACCCCTGGGTGTTCACCACAGATGAGAGTCGCGCGGTGCAGACATGTAGAATCAGTATGACTAGAGCGAGCATTAATAGCGGTTTCTATTTCGTAGAAGAGAATGCAATCACTCGAAACAGGGCCCTTCCTGCAGTAGACACAAAGCTTTTTTGTTATCCACTCATTGATGTGAGTCCGTATGAGCCAAGCTCAGGGAGCTGACAGTGTCGGCGGCTTTCTCACAGGGTTGAGCCTCTCGATATCTCATATTATCAACATCATGTGCTGAGATGCCAAGTTCAATTGTGAACCTCACTGTCATGCTCGCGCATGAGTTCAATAGCAATGTTTGAAGGCAAGCACAATAATGAATTGGTCATTCGTGACCCATTGGAGAGCAGAATCTAAACTTTCTACCCTCACCAAGAGCCTTCGCGAGAGGGTTGATCCCTTTCTGAGGAAGCTCCCGAACGTCTGAAAAGGGACGCCTCGGAACTTACTTAGCGACCCAGCAGCGTGTAGAGTTTGGCTGATCACTTGCACCTCGAGGTGTTTGAGCCACTGAGAATGCAGCGCAACCCGTCAGATGAAACGAAAGCTTGAATAGAGGCACCGCCCGGGCCATTCGGATGAATGACGCGAGGTCTGGATGAAGATGGCGTCTAGACGGAGAACCTGCTCATTGTCTTTCTTCTTTTATTCTTCCGATTCAAATCCCAACTGGTCGTATTCAGTGAAAAAGAATCAAATCAACCGCGTCCCCTGCGTTACTGAGTGAGTGTGGCCGGCAGGTGTCATTCGCGATAAAGTTTCAGAAACCTTTCCTGGCAAGTGCTCATACCATTCTGGTCTCAGCATGGGCAAGGAGAACAACGATTTCAAATCGACGCAATTTTAGTCTCCGTCCCATTAAACGTCGATCAACAATCCTACGACCTCTAAGAACGCGCCTTTATCACCGCCTCCTTCTGGTACTGACCCTTTAGCACTTGACGACGTGATTTTTCCCCCCAAGAAGAATGAGATTTCTTTCATATTTACTTACAGCGACGGCCGTCGCCTTGGCTGCAAGCCCGGGGAGCCCGACGGAACCCCAACGCCATCTCCGTGACCCGGTCCCCGACACCACGCGAGATAATGGCGGCAGCCCGCGTCCAGGTCAGAGCCGCCAGAGCAAATACAACGTATGCTGCAGATTCAATGCCGAGAAGACCAAATGCGTAAGTCGACTCACGGGCACCGGCTTGAGATGTAGATCGGACCTTTGCTAACGAAAGCTTCCGCAGGTTTGCATAGCTCGCGATAAGTTTGTAAGTGTCATCTTTGACGGAGCTTAAGTAGCAACCATTAATTCTTCTGCAGGACTGCGAGAGGGGAACCTGCTTGACGCCGGGCTCGGGTTGGACACTGGCACCGGAGGGAGATCTGTGATTTAGCGTCGTGAATATCCAGAGATTGAACCAGGAAATAACGTTGAATCCTTTGAAATGAGATGGCATGTCCTTCGAGGTTCTATTATTGCGTGGTAAAGGTGCATGGTCGTCTGCTTCGGCTAACATACGGCTCCAGAGCTACATTTTGTGCATCCGTGAAAAGATGTGGTCTAGGATCCTGCCACCCGGGCGGATACTCTTATCGAACCTGGCGAAAGACGTTAAAACTCCATATCATTTCCTTTATTAAGAATGAAGTAAATCTGTGTCATCGCCTCTGTAGTCACAGGTATCGTCGTCGCCTCTACGGTTGTCGCCGTTGTTTTACGAGTACTTCGTACTTTATGTCCGAATAATGAACGTCGCTTTCTATGGACTCCCATGGATTCAGCCGTTCATCAAATCATGTAAGAAGAGCTTCCATGCAAGAACAAACACATAGTGATAATGATACTCTAATGTACCTGTTATGAGGTCGGCATAGAATCGGAGTCTATCGGTACCGAGCCCGACAGTTGGCAGGGAGAGCCATACTCCGGCTTTTCCGTGGGCTTGAGCATGCTCAACGCATGTGGTGGCCATTACAACTCCGAAGTCCGTGAGGCTTATATCAACTTCATTGTGAACTACTGCAACCACTGACATCTGATGATCGCATAGCGCCTCACTAGCCTCGAACATAAGCGCTGAACTCCGAAGGATGAGAGGACCGTTGCATACTCTCGGGCCCGATTGAACCTTGCGCCGCCGCTAAATTGGAAATGAAAGGCTCAAGGACTATGATGTCGTCGTTGCTAGATCAAATTAGGCTACCACGCGACGATCTGGCTGTGGCTGTGCGGTATTCAGCCTAGGGCTGAGGACACCAGCCTGCCGCGTAATGGCTTTGGCAATGATCGCTGAAGGGCTTCAATCCTTCAGAATGAGTTGGAATTAACCGCAAGACTGCACGGAAATGCAAGATGCCGTCAACAATGGCGCTTGAAGATATCCAGACTGTATATATGATGCCAACATCAGCTCTTGGCATGAAGAATTTACAAGCACTTACTCACTTAGCCTCAATCAACATCTCAGATCGAACACTTACAAGATGAGAATTACCACACTTACTTCTATTTTTGCGGCCTCGCAGCTATTAGCTGGTGGTGAAGCATGCCCTTTCCACTTGAACGACGACGAGCACTCCTCGCCATCCATCAACAATGTCAGGCGGTCCATGCCGACGAATAGCACCAAAACTTCTATTCAAGACATTCAGGTTTTCAACGGGAGAAAATTTGGAAAGCCCCAAACAGTTTGTCTCGATGATGGGCACATCACTAGCTTCGGCCGTTGCGCCGGGGCGAAAACGATTGTAAACGGAACCGGCAAGTTTCTCATTCCTGGCTTAATCGACAATCACGTCCATTTGACCGACGTTCGCTCCCTCGAAGACTACACTTCGTACGGGTGTACAACCGCCATGCACATGAACTGCGCAAACTTCACGCAGTGTGCTACCCTCGCGCGTCAGTCGGGTCTCGCGTCGTTCCTCTACGCCAGCATGGCTGCTGTCGGCAACGGCAGTCTGCACTCGAAACAACAAGCCGGACGCGCCAATAATACGCTAATTTATCCAAGTACGGACGTTGTGGAATGGACGAAATGGCAATTCAACAACGGCAGCCACTTTTTGAAAATCACCGCCGAAGTCGATGGGCCGTCTCTGGAGCAGCAAACTAAGATGGTTGAGACCGCACATAACGAATACCGAAGACAGACCATGACGCATGCCTCTCAGATCGCGGCATACCAGCAAGCTGCAGACTCGAAGACCAACGGCATTCAGCACGTTCCGGATGACGGTGTTCTGGGCCAAGATGTGATCAAGCAGATTCTGAGCCAACATCAATACGTTACGCCTACATTGAACATCTTCGAATACGGCTACCGAGATGCTGTCCTGTCGAAGTTCTTGAACATCCAACCAGGAAGCAACCGTACACTCGACAACGCTCACACGAATGCTCGCCTCCTTCATGAAGCTGGCGTGCCTATTCTCGCTGGCACCGACGCCGTTGGCATATTGAAGCAGGGCAACGCCACAGCCTCAGTTCCCTTCGGTCTAACCCTTCATTTTGAGCTCGAGAACCTTGTCAAATACCTGGGCATGTCCCCCGCCGAAGCTATCAACTCTGCTACTCGCAAAGCCGCCAATTGGCACCGTGTCCCTGACAGGGGCTCCATCGAGATTGGCAAGAGGGCTGACTTGGTGATGCTCAACTCCAACCCTTTGGTTGACATCAGCAACACTCAAGACATTGCTCGGATCTGGGTATTTGGCTATGAGGCTCCAGTTTACGCGAAAAACGGTACCGCTAAGAATCCAGGAGCTTAATGTGGAAATGATATTGAGCAGTTCGAGATTGCTTGTTCAGATTAGATAGCGGGGTGCTTATAGTGCAAGCTAGACTGAAGACCTGTATATATATAGAGTCAATTTGGTGTTTGCATGGTTACATAGGTTCGGTGGCTACGTGTTTGGGCTACTCATTTATAGACTTTTGATGTAGAAGAGACATCGGCATATTTGATTTTCAACGTTTTGCCTATGCAAGCAAACGTAAGTTGTGAATGGTTCTATTATCTAGGTATTCTCGAAGATAACAAATCACCATATATTCAACAGTGATTTACCTTTGCCGCCCAGGAATGATGCAAACTTTGAGTGTGTGACTTTTTGATCGGCCCACTCATCTGTTGGCCCAATACTGTGTGAGCGACGTTCCAAGAAAGTCTGTCGTTCATTGAATGTCCCGTTTACACATCCGATCCTTTCGAATAAAGGGATAACGGAAGGTCTTGATGGACATCGAGCCAGAAGCAAACCGAAAACTTCTCCTTTGTCTATGTATCCCACCAGAACGAACAAGTCCCTTTGCTTCGAAAGTGCCTCCGAAATATTATCATCCTCATTTGTTGAGTTACTACAGTGGACATCGGCAGCTACAACCGTGTTCGGGTGCAGGTTTACCCCGGCAGGCCACTGAACCTCATACTGGTAACTACTCAATCTTCGGAAACCTTTCACTTTGAGAAGATATCCCCACAGTGTAATCGAGGCTGGCAACCTGGGGCCCGAGGCAAAGACGGACTTGGGGTTTGCGGTATACTGAGTTCTCAGAACTCTCATCAATGGGAGAGTACGTGGTTCAGGGTCTCGTCTGTTGTACCACGCCAGGCTGTACCTCTGCAGAGGATAATGTGCTTCTCCAATTACCGATGCCCAGGACCAGGTCGGCATATTGTCCCTTGCTATACGCTGACTTGCACGTTCACCGGACGTGTGCCACAGCAAACCAGCGGCGGGACTTTTGCGCCAGACTTCAGCCATATACTGGTCTCCAGGTCTCGATTTCGCTGCTCGCGCAGCCAACCCAGCTAAGGCAGGCAGCCTGTCATTTGGCCTTGTCAAATGCAGCCTCGTGAACTCTTGTACAATATCTCTACGCCAAGCTGCCTCGATATTATAAGTAGAGTGAGGGTCATTTTTATCGACAGGAGCGAGAGCAAGAGCCTTGGATCCTTTCAGAAGACTGCGCGCAAGAATAGTCCTCGGTTCATTCGTTGCAGAGCACTCACAGCTGCAAATAGAGCGGCACTCCCAGGCCATCTCTGACGGAGCAAAGTGGAGAGTTCGAGGAGAAAGAAGCCTCTCTTGGAATGCCCATGCTTTTGTGGAAAGCTTGCTGCGCATTGTGCGAAAGTTGGGATTCCACACCTGTGGGCTGTCGGCAGGCAAACTGTTAAGAACAGAAGCTGACGAATTCCTCTTCCATGGATAGCCCGGAAAGAAGTCATGATACGGGAGCTGGTATGCCAAGGGTCCTCTCTGACGGACGTGAACAATGTGCGTTCGCTCTTCTCTCAGAGGATTTATGGTAAACGTTTTGCATTGGATGGCGATAGTCTCCCGTCTCTTATTTTGAGGGTAGAGGAAAGCCAGCCAAGCTATTCTGTGCACCATCGGCACTGATCGTGAAATGGGCCTGGGAGTAAATGTAGTTCATCCGAGTGACGTGCTTTCCCCAGTCGGTTGCACAATCTTGAATGATGCAGAATGAGTCAACCCAAAGATATTTGTAGCCCAGTCTTCTCGTGACATCCATGGCATCGGCGAATGTTTGGGGGATTGGCTGCGGAAATGCGATGTGAAAGTTGTCAAAGCAAGAGAGAGTGGTTACCAATGGTGATACGCCGCCCCAGCAGTGACTCAGGGCAACGTAACGCCCTCTCTCCCCCGGACTTGGCAAATATAAGTAGGCGTCTGCACACGAGGATCCCACATCTATAAGTCAGGGAGGCAACGGAGGCATCTCGATTGAAGAAGGACAGTTGGCATGCTTACCGATCCCCGAGGTGCATTCATGAAGCCACAATTTGGCAAGCTCAAGCGTCGAAGACGTGTGGGATTCAGGTATGTCATACGCCTTTCCAACACCGGGCCATGGAAAGTTATTGCCATCTTACGCAAGTCAGAACTCATGACGTCTAAGTTGAATTCATATAGCTCAGATGACTTTCGACTTGTGAATGACTTACAAGGAGTATCAAGTGGCAAGTAGGACTGAAGGGCGAGGCCTCCAGACTCAAGCCCTGGAGAACCCTCAGATCTGTAGCGTACGCCGGCAAAAAAAAATGGCCCTCGATCAATTTGCACCAAGTAAACGTAAATTCTGTCAGCATTTGAGATGTCATTGGGCTGCAGAAATGCAGCGATGCCGTCCCACAACACCTTGTGGCGATATCCAAATTCCTCGTCGGCAATATGTTCCCGCAACTTTGACAAGACCAAACATTCCTTCGGGTAAGCGCAGCGCTCGTCATGTTTTTCGCCGGTCTCGGGGGCTTCACCAAATGCGAACCTTTCGAGTTCACTATTTCTGATCACCCGAACGAACTTCAAGGGGGCATCATGGGCAACAGGATGGTGTGGTCTGTGCAAACAGGTGTGAACTTGCCATGTCGAGAAAACGAGCGAATTCTGAACTTAACGTGGAAAGCAAAAAGCGACTACCCTCGCCCTTGATTGGTTGTGTAATCGATCGTATCCTCTTTGCTTATCGAATGTCACGATAACCGAATGATCCATTTGCTTACTTCCGAACAGCATCAGGTAATGTCTTACAGCCGAGGTTGGTGTTCCAAGAACATCAGATCTCGAAGTGGGAACGAGAAGGCCACTGAGAGGCCCCGATTACGTGGTTTTCTAACACAGTAATGGGCTTCACTGAAGTGGCCTTACAACTGTTTGATAGCTAGGTAATTTGGGAGAGTCAAACAGGCGCTGAAATCGCTGTGTTTCTGCTAGAAAAAGCGACCAAGAAAAAGAAACAAAAACATCATGGAAATCGCGCGCATCCCTGGACTCAACTTTATGTGACCCATTAACGGCCAGCGGAAACAACGCCAAAGTTCACTGTGTGAAGAGCTGAGATTTGCAGGCGACCTGGGAAACAGAACGTCAGATTATTAAACGTCCTCGCCCCGGGAATAAACCACTAAGACCTCTTGGCATTATTTGCCAAGACACCAAGCGGCCAAGGTGAGTGAAGCTTTGCGGCGTCGGCAACACGGAGAGATCTCCTTTCTTGGCCACGCATCCACCACCATCCTCCACATCACGACGCGGGGGACGACCAGGCGAAAAAAGAAATGGATCACTGGGGGAAATGGGCTTCGTGCGGGGGATCAAGACTAGCGGCGCAGGTCGAAAGCATCCAATTATCGGCTAGTTTTCTCCGGCGATAGCGGTTGAGAAATCCCATCAATCATTACCTCGGGTGGAAGAGACGGTGCAGTCGACCCTGGAGCCGATATGCAGGCCACCTGCACAATCTCCGAATCCACCTCAGCCAACAAGCCTCCCTCTCCATCTTCCCCAACTTCTCACAACACCGCGATGGGGTTGCGGTTGGTCCCCCAAAGCGTGGCCGGGCTGAGGCCCGGTGCAGCGGTCTGCTGATTACGCGGATGGACTGATGCAGGCGATGAACGGCAGGAGAAACAAGGGCATGATAGGTGGAATGGAACGCTGTGGTTTCTCCCCTCGTGCAGCATACGCTTGGTTATTTCCAGATGGCTGGGTGAAGCGAGACTAGCTTCATATCGGCCCCTGCTATCCTACCCCGACTTTGGGGAAATAAACAGCACGTTTGGGGTTGTGGTGGTGTTGGTCATGATGATCTTTTGAAAATGCGGGAAAAGAAATTGAGGAGAGCTGTGCCAACGTCGCTTGGCGATGCAGGTCCAATGCCAAGCGGCTCGAGTATATGAAGAGACTCGGCCTCACAAGAGTTGCAATGGATGGCTGATCACCTCTCCCGAGCAGCCCTTTCCCTTGGCATCTTACTTGGCAACCCTCCTCGACGTGTGTGTTTCCTCCTCGTCGTCCAATCCCACACGCAGCCATGAGAGTCTCGTCCCTCCTTGCCGCCTTGGCCGCCGCTGGCACTGCGCTATCGAGCGCAATTGAGCTTCCGGCCGGCGTTCCTCGTAACATCCAGGAGTTTCGCGAGAAGCACCCTTACGAGAAGCGCGGGAAGGACTGCCACCGCAAAACCTACACCATTCGCGCCTCCAAGAACGACCTGGACGACATCTCTGACGAGTTTGTCGAGGGTCTGAAGAAGGCCAACAACGGCGGCACGCTCTACCTCCCCGCCAACCAGACCTTCATCATCGGCAAGCCGCTCGACCTTACTTGGCTGAACGATGTGCACGTCCACTGGGAGGGTGAGATCAAGTTCACCAACGACACTCCTTACTGGCAGGAGAATGCCTTCACCCACCCTTTCCAGAATTCCATCATGTTCTGGAAGTGGGGTGGCAACAAGGTGAAGCTGTACGGAGAGGGTGTTCTCAACGGCAATGGCCAACGGTGGTGGAACGAGTTCGCCGGTCTTGAGTAAGTCTCATCATACTCCGAAGTCGTCGGGGGTTGCTGACAATTCGAAGGATTTTGGACCCTGACAACACCTACCTGCGCCCTATCCTGTTTTACGCCGAGAACGCGACTGGCCTGTCTATGGAGGGCCTCCACCTCAAGGACTCACCTTGCTGGACCACCTTCGTCGTGACTTGTAAGTACAAGGCGCCGTACAGAATCTTGCACGACCACAGCTAACATCCTCTCCAGCCAAGGACATCTCCTTCAAGGACGTCATTGTCACCGCTGAGTCTAACAACGCCACTGCCCTTCCCAAGAACACCGACTTCTTCGACTCCCTCAATGTCGAGGACGTCCGCGTGGAGCGCACCTGGGTCAACATCGGCGACGACTGCTTCTCCCCCAAGTCTAACGCCAGCAACATCCACGTTGACACCATGTACTGCAACGGTACACACGGCCAGTCCATGGGTTCCCTGGGCCAGTACGCCGGCGAGAAGAGCTTCGTCAAGGACGTCGTCATCGAGAACGTCTGGATGCTCAACGGACAGCACGGCGCCCGTCTCAAGACCTGGGCCGGCCCTAACGTTGGCTACGGCTTCATCGACAACGTTACCTTCCGTAACTTCTGGCAGGCCAACAACGAGTACACGGCCTTCATTGACTCGTGCTACTTCAACATCAATGCCTCAGTCTGCGAGCAGTACCCTTCGCAGATGAACATCTCCAACATCTTGTTTGAGAACTTCTCAGGATACAGCAGCGGCAAGTATGGCCGTGCCGTTGCTAAGTTGACCTGCTCGACCAACCCCAACGCTGTTTGTGACAACATCCAGTTCAAGAACTTCAACATCACTACGCCCTGTGGCGGCGAGCCTGTTATCCTGTGCGACGGTATCAAGGGCGGCATTGGCATGCCTTGCATCCCGTCTAACAGCACTGAGGCCAAGGCAGCCCTGGCAGCTAAGTGCACAACGGCGTTGGCTGAGGCTACGCCGTGGGTTGTCAGACCCTACGACGCTTAGAGATGATGTTTCCATAGAAGGCACAGACGGTTCACGGGCTATGATGAAAAGAGGCGGCAGATTTACTTCAAGTCGTTGATAGCGACATAGATTCATGTACAAACTTTAACCAGCAAATACAATTTTGATATCCACGATCCAAATTGCACCAATAACAGCCCCAGAATGACACACTTACAACTTTGAATCTTTACAAGAAAGCAGCCGCACCAACAAAGCCAGCGGCAGCGACGGCAGCTGCAACCATGCCGGTCTCACGAGGACCAGCATTCTTGGAACCAGTGCCTCCAGACCCACCAGCCGTGCCCGTCGCCTTTGAGCCACCGGAGCCGGCGCTGGTAGCTGTGCACACAGGAATCTCGGTGGAGAGGTCCGTGAGAGTGGAGCATTGAGAAAGGGCAGAGGCGATGGAGGCCGAGTTGGCGTCAACCCAGCTGAGGACTGCAGAGGTATAGCTTGCGTAGTCGGAGCTGAGGTCGGAGGGGACAGTAACGCTGCAAGGGTCCGTCTGGGTCGACGCTGTCATCTCGTAGGAAACGAGCTTGGGGGGAGGCGTGGGCGCGTTAGAGTAGACGGTAGCCAGGGCGTTAAGGCAGGGGTCGGCCGAAGCATCGGTCTGGCGCGGGAGGATATCCCGGCGGACACGGTCCGGACGGACGTCCATGATGGCGACAGCCGAGCCGGCGAGGGCGGCGACGAGGGTGATCTTGGCGAGCATTTTGACTGATGATGGTTTATTGAAAACGAATCTGGTGTAATGAGCGTTGAGAGTAGTTTGAGAGATGTAATGTTTGTTTGGCTGAGTTGATGACGATTAGAAAACAGCCATATCGGAAGACCGGCAACGCTCAAGTTAAATAGATTCTATTACGACGAGTGCCCCTGATCCTCAACGTTGGAGCCTAATTTTATACAGCAAAAATAAGGACATCTCCGACGCGCCGGATAGCCGCCATGGAGGACGTGCACTTCCTAGTGGCAGTCTAGTTCTGACATGATGGCGTTGTGAATATGACAGGAACGTCAAGAGATCATAGCCTGGGCGTGGTGATGGAATTAGCATGGCCACCGGCGCGCACACGGATGTCAGGCAACCGTCGACCATGCCCTTGGGGATGCCAAACCTTTCAGCTAGGGCAGATCTTTTCCATGTTTCATCGTGCCATTCTGCCTGCCTTTACCACGAACACCAATCTTAGTGAAGTAACAATGAGCTTAACGGGTTTAGAGTCGTTTCGACGAGGCATTCAGGGGAGGTGGCGTGGCTAGTTATCGGGCTAGACGGCATCAGGGCTAGGGGTGAGCCAGATCGGCTGACTGGCGCCGAGCGATTGCGGAAAAACGACGATTTGTGTCAAGGTCCTGATTCATGCCAGAAAGAGAAGTATAAAAGTTGATCTGGGGGGAAGATACTGCGTAGCAGCAGGATCGTAAGGGACGTTGCTCAACCTCATATGCCTGGCTGGGTTTTGATGCGATGAGCATAACATTCGGAACATACAAGGCAAGTCTGAATTTAGTGTTTGTATTTGTCGCGTTCCTTCTAATTACAGGTAAGTTTCAACCGTTATGCCTTCGCTGAACTCTTTGACAGTTCCTCATGTTTTCCTCGGCTGATAGAAGTTCAAGCCATGATAGAGTCAGCCCAGCAGCCGATGTCTTCAAAACTTGGGGGTGATGTTTTTAAGCCACCGCATT